TGTTCGGGATGTAGCGGACAAGGACAACAGTGGCTGGAGGAAGGCTGTTCCCTGCTGCTGGGCTGTGCAGGGAGGACCTGTTGGGCAGCATGGAGTTTGTGATCCGTGGTACAAGTGCTCCGCTTAAAAAATGTACTTTCTTTTTGTCTTTTTAATAAACCTACATGAAACGACCACGACCTCTTCTAAAGGGTTCTCATGCACCGAGGTCCCTGTTGTGTAAAACGCCTGGCGGTGCGGAGAAGTCACCGTGCCCCTGGCACAAGCGGGGGAGCCCCGTGGATGAGGTGGGGATGTCTCTGATGTGAGCGACTCAAACCGCTCGCGAGCTACAGCTCCTGGGGCTGATGCAAGGGATCTGCCGCAGCCGGTGAGGGCGAGTGGCTTGGATCCAGCGAAGCTTGTAAGTTCTGGGATGATAAATGGCACGCGTTTCTGCTGCTCGGTTGTTATTACTGGCCTAACCTATTACCAGTTCCACGCAGCTTTGCAGCTTTGATGCTGTTCTTCATCTTAGAGAGCTTTGCTCTTCCCATCACTCTCTTGCAAAAAGAACTGGATTGGTTTTTACCCTTCACTAAACAGATGGAGTTTCTCTGCCCGAAGCCTGACTGTAGTGAGAACTGGAAAAGAGGACTTTTCTCCCACAAATGACAGATGCGTCACCTGTTTGGTTGTGCTCTGGAGGGGTTTCTAATTCACTTGCTGTGAATGCTCTGTGGCACGTGTTGTGTCTGCACTGGGGGGGTTAAGTGTCATTTAAGAAGAACCTGATATTTTGAAGAGACCTTTGTTAACGGAGGCAAAATAGCGAGAGTGAGGGGAGGGAAAAGGCCAGCTGTGGCAGCAGAATGTGGGTGTTGCTCCCAGCCGGGTGCCTGCGTTGTCTTTGGTGTGGTCTGGGTTACAAACCGTGTCCTTACAAAAACCGTAAGGACACGAGCAGGAGCAGAAGGGGACGGTCTTCTCCAGGCAGTTCTCTCTACCAGCCCATGGCCGCAACTTTATATCCAGAGAGAGTTATGAGCTGCAGATGACCCAGCAAAACTGTAAGCTTGTGTACATGGTGCAGTCTGAGTGTATCTGGAAAGGAAAATCTCATTTGGGGAAAATCTTACATGTTACTTCCTCGTGGTTGGACCCTGGTGTAAGTGGGACTGCAGAAAAGGGGAAAAAATGACCCAATAATGTCTTGATGTTGCAGCAGGTGACTGCCCGACAGGTTTGCTGCAGTGCCGTGCCATACATCGGATCAAAACTGATCAGTCTGCTCATGGAAGACAGCTGTGAAGGGATCGTTGCTTCTTGTTCAGAGCAAAATTTGGAAGCTGTTTTGTCACTATCTTGGGGCCTCAGCAATTTCTGGCTGATAGGAAGGAAACCTGTAAGGTGCTTAAAACAAAAAAGGTACAAAACCAAAACACCCAAATGCTGTGTTTGGGTTCCTAAAATGGCCAGATAGAATCTGCTTTCGTCATTCTGTGGAAAATGCAGACATGTTGAACATCAAATCTAACTTATGATTTATTGCTAGAAATTTTCCAGGAAGAACTGGTGCCTGGTGAGATTACAGATGCTGTAGTTTGGTGGTTTATGGCTGGAAAATGAGTTAAACCTTCCATCACACTGGTACTTAAATGGTTTTGGTCACCAGTTTTCATACACCTGACTGTATGTGGTTCTCTGTGCTTGTCAGGCAGTTCTAGCTGACTGGTAATGATAGTTTGTCTCCTGGATTTAGCTGTGGCTTGGCACTAGCTGCTGGCTGCACAAGTTTCACTGGTTTGATTCAGAAGAGATCTGTAAATCTTGCGCTGTAGCTTCAGGAGAGGAGGAAAGTCGGTGCTGCCCCACGAAGGTGAGTAAAGCTGTGTTTGTCCTGAGCGCCGCATTGTTGCTGCTGTGGGACAGGAAAGGGTATTTGTTCCTCCTTGGCTTTGATCGGGGACTGCTCCTAGCTCATCCCGTTGCTGGGGGGAAGTAGCCTTTAAAGCTTGAGGAGCGATGGAAGTGCACGCACCAGCAAATGCAGATCCTGGCTGTACTGCAGCGCTCCTTGGGCTGTGTGGGTTCAGCCTGGGTCTGCCGCATGCGGTTTCTAATTATTTCCTTTTCTATGAAGTCTTTTTCCCATATTTTCTCATGGTGAGGCCTCCCATCCCCAGACAGAGAGCCGGTGCTAGCTACGAGATCTAGTGCATGCAGTGTGTGTTAATAATGCAGCAGCACACGATCCTGCCATTGCGTGTTTCCTTGCAAGGTACCTGGATGCGTTAAACTTTCCAATGAATTCTTGTGTGTCCTCTACCAGCAGGAGACGAAATGCCGGCTGCTAGAGGACAGTAAAATCATCTGAAATGCACACTTATCATTTTCTGCTTGTCTTCAATTAAACTGATTACCCGACTTCTTTGTTGTTCAGAGCTCAGACCGTTTCGCATGCTGCCAGCATGTACTTTGGCAACGGCGGGCAATGGGATTTCCTGCATTGTTTGAGTCTTTGCCATTGACCTTTGTGGTCGTTGTTCTGGCACTGCCTCTGCTCTGGCAGGGGTGCAAAGGGCATTATTCAAAGCCTGAAAGAAAAGAGAAAGAATTGCTTTAAAGGCATTGAGTGCTTTTTGTAATCGGTGGCTCCTAGGGTCATTGCTGCAAAAGAAGGGGAATTGCCGGGGCTGTCAGGATAATTACCCGCTTTTTTTATTGTTCTCATCCCAGTCTAGATGACAGTGGCGTGATTTCTAGTGAGTCATAAAAATATGCCTTCCATACAGCGTTAAGATGGTGGCCCTTTTGGACTACACAGGGAGAAGCCTGGTTTTGGTTCTTCTCGGGAAGTCTCGTAGGTGCTGGAAGCACTTGGCTCTGCCCTGGAGGTTTCCGAGCTCCACACTGGGGGCTGTGGAGGGCTCTGCTGGAGAGGCTGGTGGGGTTGTGCTAGAGCCCTGTCGCAGCCCGTGCCGTGGACACTGGTTCCCACAGCATCCGAGAAGATCCACATCTCCGTGCTGCTGGAGATGGGCACACCATCTGCCTCATCGCAAGGGAGGCTGTGTGACCCATTCCTGCCGCCGTCCCCATCGCTGCGGCGGTGGTTGCTCTGCTCCAGTAAATCATTTGCTCAGCCTGTGCCTGGAGCCTTGTACCTTGAACCTGTTAGAGGTCGGGTGCTCAGCCAGCTCCGGTAATGGAGCGGTGCTTGGCTTGTCAGCATGATGGCTGGGCTGGGGGAAAGGCTGAATGCACAGCTCATCCTTTTCTTCCCCTTTCCATCTGGAGCCTCCCAACCCCTGTCTCCTCTGTCAGGTGCCTGCAGTTGGTCTGGAAAGAGCCAGCCTCGTGAAGGTGCCTCCGGTGTTGCTGGTAGACTGATGCGAAGGGCAGATGAGGTCTTTGGAGTTAAGATCTTTGGAATAAGATACAACTTCTACATTATTGATTTAATTGCATTTGCATGGTATTGTGCAGCTTGAATTAAATTGTCT